TTCTCTACCATAACAGGTTTTCTTCCTTTTATGGTTTGATCATGAATATTTAGATGAGCTGTGCTCTGATTGGTCGGTTTACAACGAGTGAAGCTGCTGAGCAAAGATGCATCATAGCAACAAGCACTAAATGAAACATCAGATTGTTGATATGGTAGGGGGACCAGATGTCTTCTTTTTCCCAGACATGTCCGACTTTTCAGACCTAATAAATGAATTCCAAAATCGTTCAGGATTTTGGTCGCCTACAGCGCAGCATAAAAAAGTGTCCTCCTTTTCAGAAACCCAAACCTGGTCACCATAGATATGCTAGCATTGCTATCAACAGCTTAGCGACAGAATCATACTTCCAGCATGCGGTCGTGACGGCCTTACGGTGGGACGATCTTTAATAAAATGCTTAGAGCAAAAAGCATCAAACTCTGCCGGCATCTTCTGATAGACTAAAATAATCCTTTCCTGTCGAGTCTTTGGATCCTTGGGAAAACCTAGAAAATGTTCCTCTTCCTCCGGTCCGCCTGGAACTCTGCTTTTCCTCCCGTCCTTCTGGCTCATTTTCTATAGAAAACTGCCTAGTTGTTAATTCTGTAGCAGTAAACCCAACTACAGCTAAACAGCTAAACTGCTGTCTTCCATCTTCCTCTACTCATGTTCCTGGGCCGGGAACCAGTGGGCTGGTCTGGATCTACATTTCAGGGCCTAACAAAAGTCCAGGCCAGAACCAAATAAGGCAACATCCCCGAGTTTACGTCACTCTGTGCTTCGTTTGGATTCTCCTGTTTTATGGTGGAAGTTTAGAATAGTGAGATTTGCAGAGAAAGGAGGAGTTGATGTGGTTTGATCTTCTCTGTACGTCTATTTCACCCCCTGAACTATCGTTATTCATCTATGACCATGGAAACTGGGTTTTGCATCCTATGAACCATTTAATGCAAATGCTCATGGGGAAAGTTAACACTGATGTGTGTAGAGATAAGTCTGTTTGTGTTGGGTGGGGTGCAGTATGTGAAAACATGGGTGAGAAAAGTCGAAAGCCTGGACGTTCAGTGTGCAAGATCAGAACCAAGCAGCCGGACAGAGGAGGAGGGTCAGAAATGTCCTGAAGGACCAAAGATCCAGATGTTCAAAGGTCTCAGCCATGAGGCAGAGGTTCCCTGACCCAGATGGACTCAGGTAGATCCGCTCGGTCCCAGCCTGACCTGGCCTTGCTGCGGCCGCACCTACACCTGGTTCAGCCGCTTATGGCGGTGATTTAGTTTAAACATGGCCTCCTTATGACCAACATCACTGCTTCTCATCAGTGTCTCCATCTTTTGTTTTTAGAGCGAATTGATCATTTTTGTTCTGCATTTAAAAACATTTTTATGTCTTTATTCCCTGGAGGATCAAAGTCTGTTTCAATCTCACCTTTGTTCTTCCAGATCAGTGACGACACATTAACGGTCATTTCATATAAAGTCGGTGTTTCTCATCCCGGACTGATCCTGTTGCTTTATTCTTAACTGCAGACATCTCAAGAGGAAGCGGCGCCACAGATTCAACATGGCCGACAACATGAATTCATTGCCGTTCTTCTACGGCAACATCACCAGGGAAGAGGCAGAGGACTTCCTGAAGCAGGGCGGGAAGAACAACGGCCTGTACTTATTACGCCAAAGTCGGAACTACCTGGGAGGCTTTGCTCTGTCTCTGTCCAACTCGGGTCGATTCTACCACTACACCATCGAAAGGCAACCCAACGAAACATACGCTATAGCTGGGGGCAAGAGCCACCGCAGCCCCATGGATGTGATCGACTATCACTCCGTGGAGTCGGATGGTCTGGTGTGTCTGTTAAAGAAGCCGTGCAACAGACCCAAGAACATGCAGCCAAAGGTGGGGCGGTTTGATGACTTAAAGGAGAAACTGATCCGGGAGTACGTGAAGCAGACCTGGAACCTGCAGGTCAGTTTGAAGCTGGTTTTCCTTAGAAAGGAGGGGATGCAGTGAGTGATGAGAGGAATCTATGAGCCTTCCCTCTGGGTTAAGGCTGGGTTAGACATTCTAGGTTAGTTCCTACTGAGTCTGTCTCATTGACGTTCCTCGGGTTCCTAATTTCCTCAAAGGCCTGGCCCCTGGTACCTGGCCCCTGGTACCTGGTACCTGGCCCCTGGTACCTGGCCCCTGGTAACTGGTACATGGCCCCTGGTAACTGGCCCCTGGTAACTGGTACATGGCCCCTGATACCTGGCCCCTGGTACCTGGCCCCTGGTACCTGGTACCTGGACCCTGGTACCTGGCCCCTGATACCTGGCACCTGGTACATGGCCCCTGGTAACTGGTACCTGGCCCCTGGTACCTGGCCCCTGATACCTGGCCCCTGGTACCTGGCCCCTGGTAACTGGTACATGGCCCCTGGTAACTGGTACCTGGCCCCTGGTACCTGGCCCCTGATACCTGGCCCCTGGTACCTGGTACCTGGACCCTGGTACCTGGCCCCTGATACCTGGCACCTGGTACATGGCCACTGGTACCTGGCCCCTGGTACCTGGCCCCTGATACCTGGCCCCTGGTACATGGCCCCTGGTAACTGGTACCTGGCCCCTGGCCCCTGCTATCTGGTACCTGGCCCCTGGTACCTGGCCCCTGCTACCTGGCCCCTGGTACCTGGCCCCTGCTACCTGGTACCTGGACCCTGGTACCTGGCCCCTGATACCTGGCACCTGGTACATGGCCACTGGTACCTGGCCCCTGGTACCTGGCCCCTGATACCTGGCCCCTGGTACATGGCCCCTGGTAACTGGTACCTGGCCCCTGGCCCCTGCTATCTGGTACCTGGCCCCTGGTACCTGGCCCCTGCTACCTGGCCGCTGGTACCTGGCCCCTGCTACCTGGCCCCTGGTACCTGGCCCCTGCTACCTGGTACCTGGCCGCTGGTACCTGGCCCCTGCTACCTGGCCCCTGGGCTGTCCCCCCACACAGCACCAAAGGTTTGGCCAGAACCCTCACGGGGCCAGTCCAACCTCTGGATGGAAAAGTAGCACTTTCATCATTTTAAACTTTTAAATTCACCTGAAAGAACTCAAAAACACCTCAGCAACTTTACTATACTCTGAGGCTTCATTCTATTCAGTGTATTTCTATAGCACCAATTCCCCTCATGTCATCTCAGGTCACTTTACAGAGAGAATGCTTGTAGTAACAGTGGAGAGGAAAAACTCCCTTTGAACAAGAAGAAACCTCCAACAGGACCAGAACAGAATGCTAATGGTAAACTGGCTCCACAGGAAGCTTTCACTGGGAAAGAAACAGTTTATCAGACGAGCTCCGAGCCAGCTCCCATGTCAGAGGATGAAGAGAGCACATCCAGTTTGTCACAGTCAGAGAAACAGGACTACACTGGAAAACAGACCAAGCTCCAACATCTAGAAACAAAGGTGTTGATGGCAGCAGCACAGCTGATATTTCTCTCCAGGATGGAGTCACAGCCAAACAGGAACAGACCAGATGAAGCTACTATGAGAAAAAGCAGAGAGAGCAGAACGTTAGAGATTGGACTAACAGATTCTGCAGAGTGGGAGAATAGAGATAGAATGAAGCAGAATGATGAAAAAGGGGTCCCTATGTCCTCTAGCAGTCTAAGCCTATAGCAGCAGAACTATCCAATATAACCAGAGGTTGAAGCTGAGCTCAAACAGAAAGGTTACATAATGAATCTCCATCTGTAGATCAGAACCTTCTAGAACATGAAGCCGTCTTTATCGCGCTGATCTTTTGTTGTTTCTGGGTCGGGGGTCTGTTCTGCTGTAGGGGGCCGCCTTGGAGCAGGCCATCATCAGCCAGAGGCCCCAGCTGGAGAAGCTCATCTCCACCACTGCACATGAGAAGATGCCCTGGTTCCACGGAGCAATAACTCGGGAGGACTCGGAGCCCCGGCTGCAGAACGGGTCGCGCATGAATGGGAAGTTCCTGTACGTAAAACAAACACTCACTTATTTTTGTTTCACTGTCATTTTCACAGAAACAAGGATTTCTTTATTTCAAAGTCCTTTTCTAGTCACTCTTTCTAACGTATTCAGTGGAACTCACAGCTTTGAAGTTCAACCTTATCTAGCAAAGGGTCTTACTGGTGTTACTGGTGTTACTGGTGATGCATAATGGGTTTTAGCTCCACTTTAAGAGGCAGAATATTTGCACTAAAGACTTTCACCCCCTCACACTCTCACAGTCTGTGTGGTTTCCGCTCTGACAGTTGTGCAGAGGACTTCCTGAAGTGGCCTTGTAGGCCGAGCGCCGGCGGCAGGGCGACTGCCCCCTTTTCACTAACATCTTACAAGAACCCGCCTTTTTCCTCAGAAACAGCCTAAGATGGCGCTGCCGTTCAGTTCAGGGGTCCGTCTGCTCTGACGGCGTTTCTGCTGCAGTTAAACGCTGCGTTTCTCGGTGGGCCTTTGCTTGAATGGCGCTGCACTTCCTGTCTCTGTGGTCGGGCTGTTTGTGACGCCTCCGCTGGCGACCAGAATAGCCGCATCAGCTCCCAGCAGTCACTGCTCCGAGCTGACACGCTGGCTGGGAACAGTTAGCGCCAACTTTGCAAAGCTAGAAATAGGCAGAAACGTTGAAGGAAGTTTGCTTCTATATGATTGGGTTCTATAGTGTCAACGTGTTTTCCTCAGTGATTGTGAGCCTCAGTAGAATGTCAGAGGTTTCTAGTTCGACTAATTCTGGAAACGTTAAGATTTCTAGAAGGTTCCTTCATCTGTTCTTCATTCCAGTTTATTCAAAATGGCTGAAAGGAAGAAGGAACCCATCTGGACTTTAGGATCAATTTCTCTCTGATTTCACTGAATTCGTGTTTTGTTGGCCCCCTGTTGGGCCCTGATGGCCTCTGATGGCCCCCTGTAGGGCCCTGGTTGCCCCCGTTGACCCTGATGGCCGCTGTTGGCCCCTTTTGGCCCCTGTAAGATCCTGAAGGCCCACTGTAGGACCCTGATGGCCCCCTATTGGCCCCTGTTGGCCCCCTGTTGACCCCTGTTGGCCCCCTGTAGGACCCTGATGGCCTCTGATGGCCCCCTGTAGGACCCTGACGGCATCTGATGGCCCCCTGTTGACCCCCTGTAGGACCCTGATGCCCCCTGTTGGCCCCCTGTAGGGCCCTGGTTGCCCCCGTTGACCCTGATGGCCGCTGTTGGCCGCTGTTGGCCCCTTTTGGCCCCTGTAAGATCCTGAAGGCCCCTGATGGCCCCCTGTAGGACCCTGATGGCCCCTGTTGACCCCTGTTGGCCCCCTGTAGGACCCTGATGGCCCCCTGTTGGCCCCTGTTGGCCCCCTGTAGGACCCTGATGGCCCCCTGTTGACCCTTCTTGACCCCCTGTAGGACCCTGATGGCCCCCGGTTGGTCCCTGTAAGCCCCTGGTTGCCCCCATTGACCCCGATGGCCGCTGTTGGCCTTTGTTGGCCCCTGTAAGATCCTGAAGGCCCCTGATGGCCCCCTGTTGGCCCCTGTAGGACCCTGATGGCCCCCTATTGGTCCCTGTTGGCCCCCCTGTAGGAGCCTGATGGGCCCCTGTTGGCCCTTGTTGGCCCCTGTAGGACCCTGATGGCCCCCTGTTGGCCCCCTGTAGGACCCTGATGGCCCCTGTTGGCCCCCTGTTGGCCCCCTGTAGGACCCTGATGGTCCCTGATGGCCCCTGTTGGCCCTTGTTGGCCCCTGTTGGCCCCCTTTCTGTAAGGGACGGCCTCTGAGACCAAATCCTGAAATGTTTGCATGCAGTTTTTCTTTTCATCTGAAATGAAAGAAGCCATTTTAAGCCTCGTCTTCATCGTAACTTGGAGGAACCTGAAGTCCTGCTTGTTCAACAGAAGCAGTTTTTTTCTCCACTTCCTGTGACATAACAGTTTTACTGATGTAACATGAAAGGGGAAGTCACAGAAGCAGCATTACTGATAAAGGTTGAGGTTTATTTTTTCATCTTAAACTGTCTTTATCTATAAATAGTTTGGTATTTTTTCCTCTGAATAAAGAAGAATGAACGTTCAGAAAACACTGAGATGAAAGGAGGTTTTGTGGTGTTTCTGTTCAGGATCCGGCAGAGAGATCAAAACGGATCATATGCTTTATGTTTGCTGCATGAAGGCCAAGTGATGCATTATCGGATCGACAGGGACGCCGGCGGGAAGCTCTCCATCCCTGACGGGAAGAAATTTGACACCCTGTGGCAGGTCAGCGACTGGCTGATGTCACTATGGTCACCTGTGACTTTGGCAGATTATCAACAGATTATCAGGAGATTATTAAAAGATTATCAGCAGATTATTAAAAGATTATCAGCAGATAATCGGCAGATTATCAGCAGATTATCAGCAGATAATCGGCAGATTATCAACAGATTATCAGCAGATAATCAGTAGATTATCAGCAGATTATCAACAGATTATCAACAGATTATCAGCAGATTATCAGCAGATAATCAGTAGATTATCAGCAGATTATCAACAGATTATCAGCAGATTATCAGCAGATTATCAGCAGATAATCAGTAGATTATCAGCAGATTATCAACAGATTATCAACAGATTATCAACAGATTATCAACAGATTATCAACAGATTATCAGCAGATTATCAGCAGATTATCAGCAGATTATCAACAGATTATGTAGCCTTTTCCAGCCTATGTGATCAGACCTTCTGGGTTCTTATTGTTAATGCCGTAGGTTGAGGTGATGGTTGTTGCTTTGAGGTTAATCATTTTATGGTTTGGCTGATTATTCTGAGTGTTTCAGATTAAATTTCTGTTGTGGGACCTTTAACCATGTCTTCCCCTGACAGCTGGTGGAGCACTACTCCTACAAACCAGACGGCCTGCTGCGCGTCCTCACAGAGCCGTGTCCCAGACCAGACGGGGAACCTGGTAACCACTGGCTCAGCTGCAGAACTGTCCTGATTCCAGTTGGACCACAGCTGATGTCTAATATTTGTTATTTGCAGTGATGATCGGGCGGCCGCTACCTGCGCTGCAACATCCCGGCTTTGGCTCCGCCATCGTAAGTAGAACCTTTTTCTTTTTGACCAAATTACTCACTGAGACCTTTTCAAGGCTATCTGCCAAAGTAGAAAAAAATCTAACCAAAAGTATCTAACCAAAGTAGAAAAAAAGAAAACTCTGATCTACTTTCTATAGCTCTAGTGAGGGAAGCTAGGTGGCGCTCTTACATTCCTATCATGTTAAACAGATTCTGGGCTTTCAGCCACATGTTGATCCAGAAGCTGATGGTTCATTTCCCTCACGGTTCACAGCACTGCGTGGGGGGTGGTGGTGTTTGGGTGTGTGTGTGTGTGTGGGGGGGGGTGGGGGGTGGGGTGGGGGTGGGGGGGGGATGTTGTGCAGCTGTATCCAGTGAACCGTGACTTCAGATGTTGAGGGCAGGTGGAGCTGATGTTCCTCCATGGTTCCACGTTCTGCTGGTTGAAGGTTTGAAATCTGACTGAAAATCATCAAAGCCTCTTTTGCTTCCAGCAAAATGCAGCCGATGGCCTTCGCTCCATGTTTGGGCAGCTCAACATCCCAGGAAGGAAGGTAGGAACCGCTTCCTGGCTCTTTTGTTAACCTGAAAATCTGTGTTTTTACGTATTAATGTTGAAGATTCCTGCAGACTGTGAGCGAAGCGACTGAAGCTGCTGCTTTTCTGCTCACAGCTGATTGTTTTCATCCCTAAACTTATTTCCTTCCTGCTTCCTGGCGTCGCATCATCGTTTAACGATCCTCAGCTGATCCAAACTTCAATCCTTTGTGTCGAAGTCTAGTTTGAGGTTTAGAGAATCAGCTGAGAGCTGAAGCTTCAGATGGATGAAGTCCAGCAGTAGAATCATCTGACCTGCATCCCAGGATTGATTTAATCACTAATGACCCTTTTCCTTCATTGTTTGTTTGTTTTTTCCAATGTTTGTTTGGGAGAATCAGAGTCACAAACGCCGCCATGACCACACAGACCTCAATCCCTACGAAACCAGGGTGTCCGGTAACCTGGCAGCGAGCAAAGGTGAGCTCTGAGGGTCTGAGGAGGAACTCAGACTCAGATAGTCTGGTTTAGACAGGAGATTTCTATCTCTGCTCATATGAAGCAGTTTGCTTAAAATAACTCATCTGAACCAGCAGGTCAGACTTTTTAAAGATGGACGATCAGAAACCTGCAATCAGTGCAGGAAGAGATGAAACCAGACAGCTTTTAGAAAGAAAGCTCAGATCTGAGCTAAAAGCTGGAAAACAGTAGAAATCCTTTATTTACATCAAAAATCTGCTCCTCAGTAAAAATCAGCATTTCTTCTAAAGTCATGAAGCGATCATCACTCGGCTGCAGATATACTCAGAAAAACAGCAGAAAATAAAATGTAATCATAATCCTCAGCATTCAGCTCTGGGTTCTTTAACGTGCAGGTTTGAACAGAAATGAGTCGATAATATCATTAATAATGAGTCACTTACTTCACTAATTCATCCATTTACCTTTATTTTTACAAACAATATGTTCATTTCTCAAATTATATAAACAGCAAAACATTTTATTTCATGAACCGTTCTTAACGGAGATAATGATAGAAAGTAAATATTTTAAACCAAAAGGTAACGTTACATAGATGCTTCTCTGCTGAATAAAACGAAAGTTACGTATGTAACTACGGTTCTATGAATCCCGGATGACCGCCAGAGGGCGGTGCTGAAAGCACTGAATGTTCCCTTCGGGCATGCGCAGTTCGAGTAATTATACCAACAGAGTCACACCTGTGACACCGGATGACCACTCAGAAGCTATATAGCCTGGTGTCATCCTTTGCTCTGCTCCTACAGAATCTTCTCGCAAAAGCAAGGATTCTGAGTGACAGAGAAGCTCTGGCGGTCATCCGGGATTCATAGAACCGTAGTTACATACGTAACTTTCGTTCTATTTCATCCCTACTGACCGCCAGAGGGCGGTGCTGAAAGCACTGAATGACTAATGCCAACGATGTCACAAGGAATCCTGAGCACATACCTCACAGAGGAGGCCCAGCAGAACCTTGTAAAAGGACCTGACCCAGGGGATGAGGGGCAGCCACATTGACACTGTAGAACCTGGTGAAGGTGGTTGGGGAAGCCCATGAAGCAGCAGCACATATAGCTTCCAGCGGAACCCCTCTCAAAGCAGCCCAGGAAGCGGTGACGCTCCTGGTGGAATGTGCTCTCACACCGACTGGCAGGGAGCAGTGACCTGCAGCGTAGGCGTGGCAGATGACACTCACAATCCAATGGGACAGACGCTGTTTAGAAAGAGGACAGCCTAACCTTGGACCCCCATAGCATAGGAAAAGCTGTATGCCTCCAACGCTCTTACTGGGCACAACAACTCAGACTCATTCTCAGTTGTACCAGATTGAGGCTGAAACCGAGCGAGCCGCAATGGCTGGTTACGGTGAAAAGGAGACAACACCTTAGGCACAAACGCAGTATTAGGCCACAGGGTAACACCAGAGCCATCTGGATTCCACCTGATACACCTAGGGCTGACAGAAAGAGCATGTAGCTCGCTGACCCTCTTAGCTGAGACGATAGCCATCAGGAAAGCAGCCTTGCAGGAAAGCCACTTGAGTTCTGCTTGTGCCAAAGGCTCGAATGGAGGGTGGCACAGAGCTGTGAGAACCAATGGCAGATCCCAATCTGGGGCTCGTGGGGCTGGCCGCTGGCACAACCTACGAGCACCACGCAGAAAAAGTGAAACCAGTTCATGGCGCCCCACTGTACGGTTGTCAACAGTTCGGTGAAGACATGAAATTGCTGCAACATACACTTTAAGGGTCGAAGGAGAGCGGCCCTTATCAAGGAGAGACTGGAGAAACTCCAAAATAGTGGGCACCGAGCAGGAAAGCGGGTTCCCATTGTGGGCAGAGCACCACTGAGAAAAGAGGCGCCATCTGTTAGCATACTGCAGCCGAGTGGAGGAAGCCCTAGCACTCAATACGGTGTGTCTCACGGTGTCTGAACACCCAGTCAGCCTCCCAGGGGCCATGCCCACAGCTGGAGACGTTGAGGGTTGGGGTGCCATATCTGTCCCCCCAACTGAGACAGCAGATCCCTCCTTGCTGGAAGACGCCATGGAGTACCGTGACACAGACTCCAAAGCAGCGGGAACCACGGCCGCGCTGGCCAGAACGGAGCTACCAGCAACACTCTGTGGCCCTGCTCGAGAACCCTCCGTAGAGTCGGCCAAACCAGTGAGAGGCCATGGATGAGCCAGTGCATTCTGGCCCAGTGCGCCCGCCATCCCGGTTAGGGAATACCATAGGGGGCAATGGGTCGACTCCTCTGTGGCGAACAGATCTACCTCTGCCTGCCCAAAGAGGTTCCAGATTATGCGCACTACGTCGGGGTGAAGAGACCACTCTCCCGGAGCAGGTGCCTGGCGGGATAGAGAGTCCGCAACCTGGTTCTGCCGTCCTGGCAGATACGCTGCGCGCCGGGTACACAGACGGGGATACGCCCATTCCAGGAGATCCCTCGACACCTTCAAGAGACGTGCTGACCTGGTGCCACCTTGGTGGTTTATATGATAAACAACAGAGGTGTTGTCTGTCCGAATCAGCACGTTCCTTCCCTCTAGGTGGGGCAGAAGGCACCTGAGGGCCATGTGCACAGCCAGCAGCTCCAGCACATTTATGTGTTCGGTGCGCTCCCTTGGGTCCCAGAGACCCCGAACAGCTCTGTGTTGCCACACGGCACCCCAGCCCATGAGGCTGGCATCCGTGGTGACCACCTCCCTTCGACACACTACTAGCCCCATTGGAACACCACTGGACAAAAGGGTCCCGTCTCGCCAAGGAGCTAGGGCATGGAGGCAGCTCCTGGTCACCATTAGCCTGCGATGCCTGTGCAGCCTGGCGTCTAGGCGAAAGCTGTTGAGCCATCGCTGCAAAGGACGCAGAAGGAGCAGCCCTAAGGGCACGACACGAGTGACTGATGTCAGTTTGCCCAGCATTCGCAGGAAGGTGATGTAGGGAAACTCCCTGCCCAGTCTGAATCGACGGACAAGCTGGAGTATGTCGTCCACCCTGTGAACAGATGGACGGGCCATCATGGTAGCAGAGTCCAGATGCATCCCAAGAAAGGTGGTTGTCTGAGATGGAACCAGACAACTCTTTGCCAAGTTGACTTTGAGGCCTAACATTGACACATGAAGTAGAAGCTGGGACGTATCCCGAGAGGCAGCTACCTGAGAGGGAGCACAAAGAAGCCAATCGTCCAGGTATGGCAGAATCCTGACTCCGGAGGCCTGTAGAGGAGAGAGGGCTGCTTTCACGCATCGAGTAAACACCCTCGGGGAAAGGGAGAGCCCGAATGGGAGCACCCGGAATTGCCAATGGCGCCCCCGATAGGCGAACCTGAGAAAACGGCGATGTTCTGCCGCAATAGGCACGTGAAAGTAGGCGTCTGTCAGATCTACTGATGTAAACCAATCTCCCGCCACAATGGTCTGAAGGACCTCTGTTATGGTGAGCATGTGGAAGGGAAGGACCTTCAGGTACCGATTCAGTCCCCTTAGATCTAAAATGGGGCGAAAACCGCCGGTCTTCTTGGCCACAAGGAAGTATGTGGAGTAGTAGCCTCTGGGTTGCTGCAGAGGATCTACAGACTCGATTGCCCCCTTGCCCAGGAGGGCGGAAAGCTCCTGGTCTAGTGCCTGAGATTTCACCGGGTCTGTGATGACAGTCATCTTGACCCGGTGTGAGAGGGGGGGCCGCCGTCGGAACTGGAGCCTGTAGCCATTGGTTAAGGTGGCAACCACCCATGGATCTACGGCATGAGCAGCCCAGAAATTCAGCTGCTGATGGGAAAAATGTCCGACGGCTGGCCCGGTGGCATCATCTTCTATCCCCACGGCCCCTGGGGGCTCTGGGGGGAGGGCGTCCAGGATTTGAGGCCCGGGTCTGTCTAACAGGGCGGCAGACTGGCTCACGAAAGTCCCTTCTCGGTCTCTGCCGCACATCATGGGGATAGGAACCAACAGGTCTGCCACCGGTCTGAGGTTGTGGCTGAACGCTGGGGGTAGTGGCAGGGCGGCCCGAACGCTGGGGAAAGGCAGGTATGCTCCTGCGAAGGCCGGAAAGCTGCTGGCTAGTCTGACGTGCCTGAGCAGTCCGTTCAAGTGCCTCCAAGGCAGTTGATCCAAACAGCTCCCCTGGTACAACCGGGACACCCCTGAGGGTCCTACGGCATGCTTCAGTCAGAGGAGACTGTGCCAACCAGACCTGTCTACGAGCTTGGACAAGGAAAGACATGACCCGTCCAAGCTCTCTGGTCATCAGCGCGAAGGCCTGCAGCGCTGCGTCACTATAACCAATCGCCGCACTTGCACCACCAGTGTCCTGAACAGATGCAGACAGGGCAAACATGAGGTGCGCCAGGGAATTGCCAAGGCGGCCAGCACGCGCTCCTGCATTGTACGCCTTACAGAGGAGGTCATCTGTAACCCGACATTGAGTCCGCGGGCACCGGACATCAGGACGCAGGGCTTCATCTGGTGACACAATCAGTGAAGCAACAGCTGGTTCAATTGCTGGCATACGGTCCAGGCCGGCCTTCACTGACTCATGCATGGCAGCTAATACACGACCATCCGAGGAGAGACGCGACAGCGCTCTCGGTTCCCGCCAACAGGCGTGTAACTCCTTCAGGTACTCCTCTGATGGAGGTACAGAAAAAGGAGTAGGAGCCCTTCCACGTCTGAAAAAAGCACTGCCAGAGCTGGATGCCTCTCCTTGTGGGAGTTCCAGCTGCAGCTGCTTCAGGGCCATAGACATGACCTCCCGCATGGAACCGTCACCCGGCCTCTCCAACCGCACTCTGAGATGAAAATGAACCAGCCTCAGAGGCTTGAGAGGACCCTGCCTCCTCCTCATCTCTAAAATGAGAAGCGGAGGCAGCCAGAGAGATAACGTCATCCTCTACAACCAGCTCGGGCATTGGTGGGGAAGAGAGCCCAACCACTGGGAGCGAGGGATCAGATTGCCGTGTCTGCAACAAGGACTTCATCTCTGCCAGCTCTGCTGACAACTGCTCCACCCTTGTGGACAGGCCCTGGTCAGGTTTGGCCCGCTTCCTCCGGGGGAGGGGCACAGATGCTGTGGTCCCACCACAGCGCTTAGAACGCTTGGGGGGAACCACCTGCCCAGAGGGCGGAAGGTCCGAGCCCTCCTGGGGGCACAACTGGGCCAACCGGGCCACCCTCACTGCATGGGGCATAAAGCTGCAGTTCATACAGGGGTTCTCAGACAGCGCCTCCAAAAGGTGCTCATGTCCAAGGCAGGTAGGGCACAGGTCGTGGCCATCCTCTGCCTGCAGGGCAGCCCCACAATCTATGCAGCTGTGAGAGCCATCCATGTCGAAGGCCGACAAGGCTTAAAGAACAGAAAGTTATCGAAAATCGGGAGAGGGGGCGCAAACGCAGCCGTCACCAATTACAGCAGAGAAACGAAAGAGGCTGCGGACACAAGGCGGCCGATACCGGGAGAGGGGGCGAGAACCGCTACCGTCACCAGGTATAAAAGCAATAAACAAAAAAAAAGCTAACAACGTTAGCTGTATGGCAACTTAAGTAGGGAGTAGGAGCGATAAACGCTGCCGTCACCAATTAAGAGAGCAGACCAACGAAAAGGCTGCAAAAAAGGTTGATATTGGGAGAGGGGGCGAAAACGCTGCCGTCACCATTTATAATTAAGCAGACCGATGAAGAAGGCTGCAAACAAACCAAAAAAGGCTAACAGCGTTAGCCGTCTCCAACTTCGGCAACGAAGTAGACCACACTTGGTTGGGAGAGGGGGCGAAAACCGCGGCCGTCAGTAATTATAGCAGCGCAGACCGGTGAAAAAAAGTAGGGAATATACTGGGAGAGGGGGCGAAAACCGCTGCCGTCACCAGGTATAACACCAACAAACTAAAGAAGCTAACTACGTTAGCCGTATATAACTTCAGCAGTGAAGTTATTCACACTGGGAGTAGAGGCGAAAACGCTGCCGTCACCAGTTCGGAACAAAACAGCACGAAGCTGTAGGTAAAAAGCTAAAGTCGTGAGCCGGGAGAGGGGGCGCGGACGCTACCATCACCAGCAAACAACTCACTTACCTTCCGTAATCTTCAGAATCGACCCGTTGCAGCCCTGGGAGGGCGGAGAATAACCGCAACTCCGGTCAAGAGACAGGGGCTTCAGACAACGGGGAAGTTAGCGAACCGCTTGCGAGAAGAAAAAAGGAGCAGAGCAAAGGATGACACCAGGCTATATAGCTTCTGAGTGGTCATCCGGTGTCACAGGTGTGACTCTGTTGGTATAATTACTCGAACTGCGCATGCCCAAAGGGAACATTCAGTGCTTTCAGCACCGCCCTCTGGCGGTCAGTAGGGATGAAATAGAACTGATGATCTGCTGAATAAAACTGATGATCTGCTGAATAAAACTGATGAACTGCTGAATAAACTGTAAATCACAGACGCTGCATCAAACTGATGACACCAAACCACTGCAGAGTTGCACCATAGATATTAACGCTCTGAACTTCCAGATCAATCAGTTTTTTACTCCTTGTTTTTTCTCCCGCTCTGTTTAGATTTGATCACTGCTGATCTTTAAGAAAAGGAAATGTTCATTTAGTGGAAGCTGCACTAAAACAAACCTCGTTTTCTTTCCACTCTGTGCAGAAAATGACAATAATCCGTCTAAATGTCAAAGTTAGAAGCAGCAGGATGTTTAAAGTCCTGCAGCTCACATCCAGTCCTGTGGGACACTGACGCCCCCTACTGGGAGAAAGTAGACCATGCAGTTTCTGTGACTTTAAGGTGTTTGGATATCTGCTGCTGACTGGACTAAAATTAAATAATAATAAAACTAATAATAATATCTATTTAGTATTTGTATTACAATAAATACGATAATAATGATAATAATAATACCTAAAAAGGACGGACAGCAGGTCCTCCAGCAGCTTTTGTCCTGGATCAGTCACTCTATAGATCAGACAGATCTATAGGTCTATAGATCCCCACCACCTGAGGGCAGAGAAAGACCTAAAGCATCTAGAACAGCAGGTTGATTGGCTTCAGTTTTCCATCAGAATTACTGTTCATTCATCATAAAATAGTAGGTTGGCAGGTTTATCATAAAAACCTACCAAGTTAATGAAACAGCAGATGGTAAATCCATCCGTAAGGTTTGGATCTGTAGAATTAGAGCGGAGAGTTCAGGCTGGAGGTCAGGCAGGTTCAGCTCCGTCCTTCATTCGCTGTGGAGACGGAAACGTTCAGAGCTTCTATCCTAGAAGGAAAAGTTCCTGTTCTGTTGGAATCAAATGATTTCTTATTTTCATTCATCAAAGGTTTCAGCATTTTGGAGAAATATTTCTATGTTGATAAACTATTATGATTCTCCATGAAGTAAGAAATATAAATTTATATAGATATAAAGTTCAGTAATCTGTAGAAAATGAATATCTAGAATCTAGATTCTACTAACTGTAGAGATGGAAATTTGCTGGTTTCCAGTTTGGTGCAGAAGGTCCATGATGGTGAGTATTTATAAATGATTTCAGATGAATTATAATAGGAAGATGTTGCTGGTTGACCTGCTGACCTCCAGCAACCAGAACAGACATGAAGATGAGATCAAATCCAAGCTTTAGAAATGTTTTCTCATCCTTCCATCATGTGAAACGGCTGGAAGTTGGTCCCTAACTGGAGCGTTTCCTGTTTCAGAGGCCATGCCGATGGACACGGAGGTCTATGAAAGTCCTTATGCAGACCCTGACGAGCTGAGGAGCTCCACCGTGGCTCGAGACCAGCTCTTCTTAGAGGATGGAGAACTGGGCTCAGGAAACTTTGGCACCGTGATGAAAGGGATCTACAAGATGAGGAAGTATGAAGCCGGACCGACGGCCTCATCATGACCAGCTGCTGATGTTCAGTGTGTTCCTGTTTCTCTCTGCCTGACAGGAAGCCATGCTTTGCTGCATTTGGGGACAGTAGTGGTGATCATTTGCAAAGTTAGCAGACAGAAGCAGCAGGTCTGCTGCTCAACCTGGACATGCTTCAGTTAAACTACCCAAAATAATCCCGTCCCACAAAGATTTGACTGTTTAATGTGAGCTTTGAGTCAGAAAGAGCCTCAGCAGAGCATGTCTGATGCTACCACACAGGAAGTGGGGGGGGGGCAGCATGCTGTGGTTACAGATGAATGCTGCTTCAGGCTTTAGCAGCTTCAGATTATTTGCATTTCTTCAGCTGCAGCCAAAGATTCAAAGAAAAAGATCTCAGTTAACAATCCTCACATTTCACAGACTTTTATTCTCATTCCAGCGTCACATTACAGAAAAACAAAATGCATTTAGCCCCTCCCCCTGGGGAGCAGCAGTGATGCGGCCCCCCGGGGAGCGGTGTGGGGTTAACTGGCAGCCTGTGGGAGCCATCAGTTACCTGAAGAAGGTGGGAAGTAATGAGAGGGTCAAAGGTCAGAGTCACAGCCAGCTGATCTGTTTGCAGAGATCATTTCAGAAAACCACTGAAGAATCTTTGAAACTTTAAAACGTTTCTGCTAAGATTCATGTTTGTCTTCATATTTTTCAGTTTCAGTTTGTTCTGCAGGTGGCTTCCTAATTCTCAGAGCTCTTTGGGGTTTTCTTGTTCTTAAGCTTTAATGTTTTATTCTTTCATTCTTTTGGTTTTTCTTTGATCTCTGTGGCTTTTCTCTCTCTGTAAATATTCCTTTAATGTTTTCTTTTCTTTGATGTGGTTTTATTCCTCTAACTTTTCTGTCTGCAAACAGAAATCATTGCAGATAAAATGTTGAATTCCTGATTAGTGGGCAGCACTGCTGGCTTACATTGTAAAGGTTTCAGGTTCGATTCCTGGGACGGATTCTTTCTGCATGGAGTCTTCATGTTCTCCCTGAGCATGCGTGGGTTCTCTCCGGGTACTCCGGCTTCCTCCTACCGTCCAGAAACACTGTTAGGTTGATTCTAAATCCTCCTTAAGGGCTGGTTATCCTCCAGCAGCGGGTCGCAGTGAGATTGATGCAGACATTTTTGATTTATGCTCAATAAAAAATAGCGGAGATCCAGGTGGAAAAAGGCTCCTAGCGCACCTCGCTCTTCTAGTGGGTCAAACTTCACGAGTTTGACCCCCTCCAGCAGGGATAAAGCGTGTTAGAAAGGATGGATGACTCCAGCTGTTCTTCCATGTTCTCATGCTTTCCTCTTTGTATCAGAACAGAGAAAACGGTTGCTGTTAAAATCCTGAAGAACGACGACAACAACCCGGCCGTTCGGGAAGAAATGCTGCGAGAGGCGAACGTCATGCAGCAGTTGGACAATCCTTACATCGTTCGGATGATCGGCATCTGTGAGGCAGAGAACCTCATGCTGGTCATGGAACTGGCTGAACTGGGACCACTGAACAAGTTTCTGCAGAAAAACAAGTATGTTCTCAACATTCATCCTGTTTACTGCAGAAGCAGATTCTATAATAACAGATCTATCTCACACTGAAATTCATTACATTAATTCATTATTATTTAACAGCTGAATAGAAATAATCATTTATAAAAACACACCTTAGATCCCAACATTTCCAGGATGATAAAGAGACGTTTCCTTCTTGATGACTATAGATGGATTTTTTTATTGTTTTGTTTTACAGCGTTTTTATTGTCATTAAACCGTCACAGAACAGAGCAGCGAAATTCCCTCTCTGCATTTAGCCCCTCCCCTTGGGGAGCAGTGGGCTGCCATTGTGTGGCACCCGGGGAGCAGGTGGAGGTTAAGGGGTGGGGGTTAGAAACACCGCCCATCCTGGTTCTACTGTAGATGCTGCTTCCTGTTCTGGGTAGATCTCCGTCCCAGCCTCTGGTCTGCAGACTGCAGCAGCTTTCCTTTCTTTCCTCTCTTTGGTTCTTTCCATCTTCCCATCACTTTAATCATTTTCACTGCTGAACCAAAGCAGGCCCACGCCATGATGCTGCCACCGCCATGTCAGACAGTGTTCAGGGGGATCAGCTGTGTTGCTTTACACCAAACATAAAGTCGGTTCCATCAGACCAGAGCTCCTTCCTCCATGTTTGCTGCGTCTCCCAGGAGGATTGTGGGAAACTTTTAACCAGAAACCTTCCAGGGAAGGTCTGCCTTCCATGAAGGCCAGATCTGTGCAACATAGACTGGTCGTCCCATCCAGAGGGATGATGCTCCTCTGGTCAGTCTGCGGTTCAGAGGGACGGCGGTCTCCCTAGATTCTGGTGGTCAGTATCTGGGACCTGCCTGGTCTTCCATGTTCCTCTCTGAGCTGTAAGCAGACTGCTGAGACCTGATTCTACTGGATTCTAGAGATTAGTCATTTAGATCAACACCCGATCAATCAGAGATCATCGCTGTTTGATGCACTTAAAGTAAAACAGCTGATTAACTTTTCTCACCCACTCTACAGTTTTATATTTAGTAAAAAAAGTTTAGAATATCCAATAAATTTCTTTCCCACTGGTTGATTCTTAAATAAAACATTCAATTTTATATCTTTATGTTTGAAGCCTGAAATGAGGCAAAAGGTCAAAAGGGGGACGTGAAAACTTTGGCAGGGCGCTGTATAACAGCACATAAAGATAAGAATTATACTTCAGCTCCTGTCACATCCTGCTGATTTATCCAGCGTCTGCCTGACGTCCCAGAATCTCCTAAACTCTGAACTTTCTATGGATTCTTTCTATTCTGGGCGTAAACATAGAGGATTCAGAACGAGTCCAGAACTTCTGTCCAACGACAGCCTAACTTCTGCATGACGCACGGCAGGGTGACGGCCAGGAAATGATGAGTCCTGAGGGGGGCAGCGATGCACCCGGAGGCGCCCGGCCTGCAGATAGAGATGTCTTTGATCGCGGTATTAACCTAGCTGCTGGTTACCACCCGACAGTAGAATAAAGAAATCAGGTTTCTGTTGTCAGCAGATTGAGCGTCATGTCTGCCAGGAAGTGTGTTGGTGGTGGGCGTGAACGCAGGGAGGATCCATCACTCACCTTCTGGCTCACCCTATGATGGGGATGAATTCTGGAGGAGAACTGACGGTTTCCTCCTGTGAACCCCTGCTATACCAAAACGCTGCCAATACGCCATTATACAGTAGCTGGAAGGTAGAAACAGGTTCAGCGCTCGTCTGGAACACGGCAGATACGCTGATATGTTGGAGAGAAGTTCTGGAGAAGTTATGCAAAAGCATAGCTTATTGCCCTTCACAGGTTGATGATTTAGTTGATGGGGTTGCTAGTTCTCTGCGTACTGCCTTAGACAACGCAGCTCCTTTGAAAATGAAAACCGTTAAAAATAGAAAGCTTGCTCCTTGGTTTAATGCAGAGCTGCATACTTTGAAGCAAAATGCTAGGAAACTGGAGAGAAAATATCGCTCCATAGGCCTGCGAGAGTCCTTCCTAGTCTGGAAAAATGGTTTACTGCTGTATAAGAGGACCCTTTGTAAAGCAAGAGCAGCATACTTCTCATCATTAATAGAGGAGAATAAGAATAATCCTAGATTTCTTTTTAATCCAGTTGCCAAACTCACCCAGAGCCATAGCTCTGTTGAACCGCCATTCCACCTGCTCTTAGCAGCAATGATTTTATGGGATGTTTTATAAATAAGATGATCTTATTAAAATAAGATCATTAGTACTCCTCTATCTACGATTGGTTTGTCTCTGGAGGGGGGGGGCAGCATCTGAGGTAGTCATGGAATCTGAACCGGGTTTAGACTGCTTTGATCCAGTTGAACTTTCAGAGTTAGCAAAATTATTGTCTTCATCTAAGCCTTCAACTTGGATGTTAGATCCAGTTCCAACCAGGTTATTTAATATTCTGTCATTTTGTTCTTTAATCCATGCCAGCAGGTGGCGGTAAAGGACTTTCAAATTGTTTGCAAACAACCATTAAACATCACAAAAGAAGAAGCAGAATAGAAACAGAGACAAAAAAAGACGGAGTCCTCTGAGTCCTGACACTGTTCAAGATGCCTTAACTCAGTGGTTCCCAAAGATTTTCTTCTGGGCCCCCCTTTGGATTACAATAAAATTTCCACGCCCCAACCCAAAAAATAAAAAATAATCAACTGGGCACACACATCGTTCAACCAGATATAATAAATCTATACACATATTTTGTTTTCAAATTCCACTGAAGTTTATTTCACGCTTCAGGTTGCAACAAAACAAACTACACCATCTTTACAGTGGAACACTTTTGTGTAACTGTATTTTTTTCATAGTTCTATAATGTAGATTAGAAGAGGATTCTTTGTTGTCTGTGTTATTTTAAACATATTTCTTTTTTTTGTTTATTTGTAACAATATTTAACTTTGCTATAATCTATACATTAAAAAAGCCTCTGTGCAAAATGGAGTGAAAACATTGAACAGCTCCCTGAGAGTTTTTTCTTTGTACTTTAATCCTCACATCTTTTCAGTGGCTGTAGTGAGCCTGCTTGTTGCTGCAGATCTTCTCAAATCTGGGTTGCAGTGTCACAACTGTCCATTATGCTCAGTCAAGCAAGCACTGTTTTTTTTTGCCCCACACTTTGGGAACCACTGCCTTAACTGAAGCAGTGTTATTGAAGGAGTGATCCCAACCGTGACCACCAGGGGGCACAATCCCCTGCTTCTAACAATTTAGAAGGAAAACCTATAGAGCTGAATAGAACAGAATAGACCAGAACAGAATAGAACAGAGCAGAATAAAGCAGAACAGAACAAATCAGAATAGAACAGAATAAAATAGAGCAGAATAAAATAGAGCGATGAGCCTCCAGGTGGATCAGCAGTAGAGAATCACTTATATTCAGTTTTTTTAAACCAGAGGATCTGAGCAAAACGCTGATCTCTACATTCACTCATTTTATCCCTGGATGCTTCTGAACCATTTACTGTTTAATAATTAACGTTTATATTAAACAGAATAATTTATTGACTTAAATTTATTGGTGTGAAATCATTTTCTTTTGTTTTTCTTTGCAGTTTTATCTGTTTTTTTCTCTCCGGGTATTTTGTCTGTTGATTGTTGCACAGTTTAAGATTAGAAGGTGACTCTGATCCTTAGTCCCGCGGTTCTCAAAGTGTGTGGCGCGACCCACTGGTGGGGAATTGAGACGTGACAGGTGGGGCGCGCCAAGTTCCGGTGTGTGTGTGTGTGTGTGTGTGTGTGTGTGACTATAAATGTAGAATGTGTGAGAGCAAACTGTCCTTATAGCTGTATGTTGCCGCTTTTTAGACCAATCAAACCCACAAAGTAATCATTACTAGCCTACATGCAGTCTAATTAAAAGAACATTAGATATGAGAAACATTTCACCTGGAACTGAAGTGCCAAAATAATGATTGACGTGACGTCGGCATATTATTTGTAACGGAATAAACTTTCGCGCCCCAGTGTTGCCAACTCAGCGACTTTGTCGCTATATTTCAGACCCCTCCAGCGACTCTTTTTCAAAAAAACAAATCTAGCGCCTTTTGGAGACTCTTACGTGAAAGCACGTATCGTTCCTTTTCTTGTCCTCCAGCGGCAGGTGCTGCCGTGGGGCGCCTCCCCCGTCCCAACCCCGTTCTCCCCCGCTATTGCAGGAGTCCCTATCAGCGCTGCAGTCAGAGCAGAGACACAGCATGTTTAACTTTTGCGTCCAGACTGCAAATAAAGCGCACATGCGCCGGGATTGACGGCGCAGGTTGATCATAAATAACTGAATTTGAAATATTTTATCTTAAATAAATAACGGCGTTTGATTCACACAGCCACATGTTCATGTTTCTGGTTAGGAGTGGAGAGCGAGTATCTACTCATCGGGCAGAGAGCTGTGTGCATTCTTCTTCCCTTTGCCACATCATATCTCTGTGAGATGGGCTTTTCAGCTGCTGCTTCAATGAAAACAAAATACAGATCTCAGCAGAACATTGAGCATGACTTGAGAGTGGCAGTATCAAGCCTGCAGCCCCGTTTTGAGAAACTGCAATGCAAAACAGGCTCATTGCAGCCACTAATGCAGGGATAAATAGACCTGTATTGCCAGATGGATTTCACTTCTTTTCTTTTATTAACAGATTGCAGAGTGGCACTTTAATTTTTTCTATCTTTGAGCTTGATACAAATTTTGACACAGCTGCATTTTTATTTTCTTTATTTTTGAGCTTGCTGTTATTTGATGTAGATTTGTATTTAGATACTACTTGTTACTTCAATAAAATTGGAACATTTTAAGATTGTTGAATATTTCATTAGCATTGTGTTGGGGCGATGGGGACAGGCGGGGCTTGAAAATTCCCCCTTGTCCAAAGTGGGGAATGACAGAAAAAGTTTGAGAACCACTGCCTTAGTCTGAGCTGCTGCTGCTATTAACGACTGATTTTGTCCAGAAACACGTCGGGGAAGAACATCACAGAGCTGGTCCATCAGGTGTCCATGGGGATGAAGTACCTGGAGGAGCATAACTTTGTTCACAGAGACCTGGCTGCCAGGAACGTCCTGCTGGTCACTCAGCACTATGCGAAGATCAGCGACTTCGGCCTCTCCAAGGCCGTGGCAGAAGAACAGAACTACTACAAGGTAACCAGCTGAACGCCTGGTCTGATTACCGGCCAATCAGATCATCAGGATGCTGCAGCATCACTGATGTCTGATGATCCGCCTCTTCGGCTCTGATAGTAGATCACCTAGAAAACGCTCTCTGATCATCTCACACCCATGACCTCTGACCTCTTTAAACGTTTCTGCTAACTGGGATGAAGGACTGACCTACATTTATGCATTATCACCTACGGTTCTAGTTTAGCATCTATTCTAGATATTCTCTGGAGCTGCTCTGCTCTCCTAGACTGGAGGAGGAATATTATGGAAATCAATTTCCAAATATTGGAAAGAAAGTTTAACATCACAGCAAAGATGGCAGGTAGAACTACTTCTGACTAGTATTGAAGTATTTATGGTATATTGAAGTATTTGTGGTGTATTGAAGTATTTATGGTATATTGAAGTATTTGTGGTATATTGAAGTATTTGTGGTATATTGAAGTATTTATGGTATATTGAAGTATTTATAGTATATTGAAGTATTTATGGTATATTGAAGTATTTGTGGTATAATGAAGTATTTATGGTATATTGAAGTATTTGTGGTGTATTGAAGTATTTATGGTATATTGAAGTATTTGTGGTATATTGAAGTATTTATGGTATATTGAAGTATTTGTGGTATAATGAAGTATTTATGGTATATTGAAGTATTTGTGGTATATTGAAGTATTTGTGGTATATTGAAGTATTTGTGGTATATTGAAGTATTTATGGTATATTGAAGTATTTGTGGTATATTGAAGTATTTATGGTATATTGAAGTATTTGTGGTATATTGAAGTATTTATGGTATATTGAAGTATTTGTGGTATATTGAAGTATTTATGGTATATTGAAGTATTTGTGGTATAATGAAGTATTTATGGTATATTGAAGTATTTATGGTATATTGAAGTATTTGTGGTATATTGAAGTATTTGTGGTATATTGAAGTATTTATGGTATATTGAAGTATTTGTGGTATATTGAAGTATTTATGGTATATTGAAGTATTTGTGGTATATTGAAGTATTTGTGGTATATTGAAGTATTTATGGTATATTGAAGTATTTGTGGTATATTGAAGTATTTGTGGTATATTGAAGTATTTATGGTATATTGAAGTATTTGTGGTATATTGAAGTATTTGTGGTATATTGAAGTATTTATGGTATATTGAAGTATTTGTGGTATAATGAAGTATTTATGGTATATTGAAGTATTTATGGTATATTGAAGTATTTATGGTATATTGAAGTATTTGTGGTATATTGAAGTATTTATGGTATATTGAAGTATTTGTGGTATATTGAAGTATTTGTGGTATATTGAAGTATTTATGGTATATTGAAGTATTTGTGGTATATTGAAGTATTTGTGGTATATTGAAGTATTTATGGTATATTGAAGTATTTGTGGTATAATGAAGTATTTATGGTATATTGAAGTATTTATAGTATATTGAAGTATTTGTGGTATATTGAAGTATTTGTGGTATATTGAAGTATTTATGGTATATTGAAGTATTTGTGGTATATTGAAGTATTTGTGGTATTTTCTACAAAACAAAAAACTCAGTAAAATTAGCATTTGAAATAAAAACAGATTTCCTGTTTAAATCTGAAGCTGAAATGATTTCTGGAGCCGCTGGGAGGTAAAATACGGCGTCCAGACGTTGGTCCATCAGCAGGCTAATGTTTGGATCAACAGACAGCCCTGGCTGGTTGCATAGGTGGCGCTAGAGAGCATCACAGGGAACTCTGGGAGGTGATTCCCACCTCCTGCTGAAATATCTTAACAGACGTTAACCCTTTGTGACCTGGTCTGACCGCAGGAAGCTAATGTCTCGCTCCTGTTTCAGGCCAAAGGTCACGGGAAGTGGCCAGTCAAGTGGTACGCTCCAGAATGCATAAACTACTTCAAGTTTTCCTCCAAAAGCGACGTGTGGAGCTTCGGGGTGCTGATGTGGGAGGCCTTCTCCTACGGCCAGAAGCCCTACAAGGTAACGGTCCTCCTCCATCCCTGGAGGTAATCCTGATCCAGGCTGCATCACAGACGCAGACCATGGCTGTAAAAGCAGGAATCCAGCTGTGAAAATCAGCCTTGAATGTGTGAAAATGTTTCTGGTTGTTTGCAGGGAATGAAAGGAAACGACGTTATGCAGATGATTGAGAGTGGAAAACGCATGGAGCCGCCGGCAAACTGTCCCACTGAGATGTATGACCTGATGAGGACCTGCTGGACGTACAAGTAGGCGACTCGTCTCCCGTCCACCGAGCCGCAACGGCTGAACCTCCGTTTTAATGTTTGTTCTATTTTCCTCCTTCCAGGGTGGATGAACGTCCCTCCTTCGCTGTCGTTGAGCCAAGACTACGAGAATATTACTACGACATCGCTCAGTGACGGATCAGAGAGGAATATCAGGCTATGCAACATTTGATGGATCATTAATGAGCCAAGCGTCACAGATGCCTTGAAATGGAGATACAGTTTATGCTTACAGCCACCCAGCAGTTTATAGGAGCCGTTCTTTACTTCATGACACCTGATGCATCTGATGATTATTATTATTACTATTATTAATGAGCTTTTTTTAAGCTAAAGCAGAAATACGGCATGCAGACTGGATAGAGTACTATGCACACGTCACATGTAATTTATTACCTTCATGCTGCTTTGTTCTGTTTGATCTGTGCTTCCTTCTTCTTTAGGTTTTGACATGTAAATGCAAAATAAAATACTATTTTATTTTTATTACAAGTGTTAAAGAAATGATGTGGATTTAGGCTGTTTTAGTCTAAAAATTTCACTTTATTTCACCTGCATCTAAAAAAGAGAAAATAAAACTCCAGAGTCTTGGTGTTGAAGAGTTGTGCTTGAAAGTTTTCACACCTTTCCACTAAACATCAGTTCACTGTAAAATAAACTAAAATGGAGAAAAGTAATGATAAATAAATGATTTAAAAGGAAAATCATGACATTGATTTTAAGTATTTTTAAATCTACAGCAGAAACGGAACAAACCTGATGAACTAAATGAAATCAGATATTTCTGTAAAGTTCAGGAACGTTTTCAGTTCTGCTTTATTTGAATGACTGGTTTGAATTTAACATTTTGTTTAATGGGGGGGGGGTGTAAACTTTCAAGCATAAGTGTATATTTACTAAAAGAAATAATGCACATGAATTATTTCCTTTTTCCACGTATCACATTTTTTATTTTAAGTTAATAGAATAAAGCTGAACTAACTGAAGGTGGAAAAGCATCAGTTCAGCAGGTGAGTCTAACCTGAGCAGGATGGACTCACCTGCATCAGCGGATGAACAGAATAAACACTAGTTGGTGTCAGACCCCCATCATGTCATCTCAGCTCACTTTATACAATAGAATAGAATAGAAAACGCCTTTATTGTCCCACTGTGGGGAAACTGTGGCGCTCCAGCAGAAGTGATCACACAATGTGGACGTTAGCAAAATGTATAAAAATAACAGAAAAAGTGACAGAGTTCAGATAAATATTAATAGAATATTGCACTGTAAAGTGTTTTACTATATTAATACTCAATATCTGGAGAATAAATAACCAATAAACAGCTGTGGACATCTGTACAGTAAAGCATATATGAAAATATCAGCCACTGTCAACTAGGGGGGGGGAGGTTACCTAAGGACCCAAAAGCAGAGACGAGTTTTTTGTAGATTTAATTCAAAAATGAGGCAAACATCCAAAACATAAAAAGATTAAGAAACAAAAAAACAGCAAACATCAGGAAAACCCAGGTGGAGAGCCAGAGACGAGGAAGCAACCAGCAACCAACAAGGAACCAGCGCTGAGTAAAGATGGGGGACAGGACAGAGACTGGGCCAATCAGCTGACAGGGAGCAGGTGTGGATGGAAGAGACTAGAAGGGAGACAGGCCAAGGGGTCAGCAGAGAGAAACTAAAGACTGCTTAAATATAACATAAAATGGAAACTAAACCAGAGATCAACAAAACAGAATGACTTAGATAATAAAAACTAAAAAAGGTCCCAAAGGGGGAGAACCATGACAGCAGCAGGTTATCTAACTGACTGAGGTAGAAACTGAGCAGAATCAGCATGAATGGAAGAACTGCTGGAGGTTGATGGGAACAGTGGTGGTTCTAGAGTCTTCCAGCTGCTGGGAGGAAGGATCTGTGATAACGCTCCCTGGTGCATTTAAGGTGCAGCAGGCTGTCACTGAAGGAGCTGTCCAGTTCAGCACCAGCTGAACCAGCATGGGGGGGGTTATTATCCGTCTGTTTCCCACCTCCTGCACTGAGTCCAGAGGGCATCCAATCACAGAGCTGGCTCAACTCGTTGACTCTTCAGCAATCCCTCACACTAAGCATGCTTGTAGCGACAGTGGAGAGGAAAGACTCCCTTTGAACAGCAAGAAACCTCCAGCAGAACCAGGCTCAGTGTGAGCGGCCATCTGCTGAGGCCCACTGGGGTTCAAGGAGACAGAAGCAGACATAGAAAAAGAAGCATAGATACAAAAGGCAACTGTCAACCAGCTCCACAGGCGGCCCCGTCCAGGAAACACACAGCCAGGCAGACGAGCTCCGAGCCAGCTCCCATGTCAGAGGATGAAGAGAGCAAAGGTTTTATTTTACTCTGCAGAGGAGAACGACACAAACATCTGAATCCAGCTCCCAGTGAGGCTCTGGCGTGTTCAGCATCCAAGCCCTGCATATAAAGAGACTCCACACGCATCAACATTGTTTCATTAGTTCATCAGCGACAAACATTTAGTCAGATAAACACTTCAGACAACTGTTTCCATCCATCCAGGAACGGGACGTCAGAACATTGAACACAGTGAAAACTTTTCCTTCTGATCTAAACTAGGGAGGAAACTTTCTTCTTCTCAGGTTTCTAAATAATCACCCGATTCAGGCAAAGAAAAACACCTTAAACATTTAATCTCACAAACAGGACAAGGAAAATATGATTCCAGAGATTATAAATTCTTCTAGATAAAGTTTGGTTCTATAACATCTGATCCACATTAAACTGTAACATCATTGCATCTGGTTTCCACCATGTTTTTCCTTCCTCGTTGTTTATAGTAGTTTAGTTTAGTTTAGTTTAGTTTAGTTTAGTTTAGTTTAGTTTAGTTTAGTTTAGTTTAGTTTAGTTTAGTTTAGTTTAGTTTAGTTTCATTAGTTTTAGTCGAGAGTTTCTAACTGAAAGTCTGAATGTTTGACTTGGAGCTGAATGATGTTTGTTAATAAACTCTTATGTTTTAATGGAAGTTGTGGTGAATTTATTCCATATCTGTGCAGAATTAACTGTTGGGCCATGATGGGAATTTGATTCACACCTTCAGCTGTTGTTTTAACACACAGCCAGCAGGGGGCGTGTGTTCATCAACAATAGATGACAGTCTGATTAAATATCATATTAACCATCCTACCAGCTGTGGGCAATAAATATAATAAAGTTGTAGAACATGTTAAATGGTTCATCTGGCAGGGCAGTGGGTGGCCTGCTCTGCATGTTTCTGTTCCAGCACATCTGATATTAGGTGCAGCAGAAGCCTGTCTATAATCTATAATCTATAATCTATTGTAAAACATGGAGGATGGGGTGCCTGAGGACCGGGGGCCGTGGGACCGGGGGCCGTGGGACCGGGGGCCGTGGGACCGGGGACCGTGGGAACCACTGTCATGAACTCTTCAAGGAGTGAAGGGAAACTAAAGACACCACAGAATACAGATGAATAGATATTCATTTTGTCTTGATCAATCAGCACATTTCTATGTTCCAGACTAAGATCTATGAGAAGCAGACCAAGAGGCAGAGCTCTAAACCACAGAGACGTCCAGACTAGTTCAGCATTACGGAGAGGAGAACAGTTCACTGCTACCAGCCTGACCTCACTGCTCCTCTCTATTCTACTCCATATTATTACTGATTTTACTGCATAATGTGTGTAGAAGAGGTGCTTCTGTGTCATGGTGCCACATCCATCCATGAGTTTCCATTCACTGTCTAAAACACTAGGTGTCGCTGTTGACTCGCTCTTGGACGTTTCTCCCCCCTCTCGCTCTTCCAGCTTCCCTTATGAGAGAAGCATGAACATTATTCTTGTGGAAATGAACCTACTTGTCTGTTGCCGAGTGTCTGGTACTATGTATACATGTATACATTCATATATACATTCATATATACATTCATATACATTCATATACACATACATACAGTATATACTGTATAGGGCGGCTCCCAGGGCGCTTGCTGTGGACAAGGCTTGGTCTAAACTCAGGCTCTCCTCTGGAAACAGTTTGTCATGCAGCTTTTTCCTACAAAAGTTTTCCTCAGATCTTTGATCATGTCTGATGTGCCAAAGTCACATGACCCCCCCCCCCCCGGTTGTCTATGCATGTACGAAGGCACGCACTGACTCATCAGAGTCCCCTGCCTGGCTTGTGTCTCTCTGGGTGTCCAGCATCAGTCTGACCAGGTGCCTCTCAGTAGATCAGTAAAGATCTTCTGCTGCTCCAAAGCGCCTCCTCCACCAAACATTCAGTCCTGAGTTGGAAAAAGCTCAGATTTAATGTTTAGAAATAAGGCTGTAAACATACTTTATCTGAAAGTTCTGGCATTTTAAAGACTCAGATGCCTGAAGAATAAAAATATAGACCATGAGAATAAAAGAACTAATTTGAGCAGAAGTGATACTTTACCAATTTTTCAGCATAAAGCTTAGAAAACCTATCCTTACAATCAGATCTGTCTTTCTGTTCGGACGGGAAACTAACTGTTATATCTGCTGTTTACTGCATGGTTACCTGAATAAATCAAATTACTCCCAGAGGACAGAGTACTCAGAGACTTTACTGCAATACTTTACAAGAGTATTACTGAAGTAAAAGTAAGAAGTACGGCACAATAAAACTACTAGTAAAAGTACTCTTTTTATCACATTGCTACTCAAGTAGAGGTAACTGAGCAAATGTAACTAATTACTCCAGACCTCTGCTAAGTGGGGGCTCCTTCTGAGTCCTGATTGATTGATTGATCGTCTTCATTGATCTCACAGTGCAGGAATGTTAACCCTAACCCTTCCATCGGCTCTAATAGTCAAAGGAAGGAGGAGAAGGAGCCAAAGGAAGAAAAGGTGCATGATGGGATATATGTGGTATATACAGGGCGTCCACATATTACAGGGTTAGTTTTTATATAGCAGAGTTATTATCTGCAGTTATTGCACAGGGTGTTTAGATGGGTGTTTATATATATATATATAGTTATTGCTGAGGGTATTCAGTAGTAAATAAAGAGGCCCAGCCTGTTTCCAGACCTGAACCTGCTAAAAAAAACACCTCAGAAAACTCAGTTCATTAACTGAGGTTCCATTATGATGTTAAATAATGAAAGTTTCTTATTTTAATAAAATGCTTTACTCTCTACTTTTAGCCCTAAATATCTGACGGCCTGTGGTTAATTTTTAGCCTTGTGCTTTTTTTCATATCATATTCATAATGTGTTGTAAGAAGTAAAGATGGTTCAACTCGCATCCATCTCATCGATTTGACTTTGTTCGCGTTAATGAGAAATCTTCCTCATGCTCCAGGGTTACCCATGGAGAACCACAGGGATCAGTGTTGGTAATGATCATGGCTCTGATGGCGGGCCTTATTGCTCATTTATTCATCTAACTAACTCTGTCCAACTATCACTCATCTTATCCAGCTGCTGTTGCTCCTGCTGATAGTTGATGTTCTC